GAGATATTAACACTACTCCTGCCCCCGCACCTTGCCGGTTTGAGCTCCCATTAACAAACAGGCGAAAGGAGTCGCCGATGTAAATGCTGCAGGGTCTGATTTTTTCCTTTCCTTGTTCTTTTGCCTTTGGCTGGGCTTCTCTTTGTTTGCTTGGACATCGTTCATCTTCTCTCAACGGAGCCCAATGTTCGATGGATTCTGGCGTGAATTCGGCCACGAAGTCGGCCAAAACTTGTCCCTTAATTGCTGTTCTCGGTCTGAACTCCAGGTCATACTGGCCCAAGGCCACTGCCCATCTTGCTATTCTTCCAGTTAAGTCTCCTTGTTGTAACAAGGACTTCAATGGGTGCTCTGTTAGCACTATAATCTTGTGCGCTTGAAAGTAATGGTTCAGTTTTTTTGAAGCCATTACTAAGGCCAGTGCCAGTTTTTCCAAGGGTAGATACCTTGTTTCTGCATCGACTAAAGCTTTGCTTACGTAGTAAACAGCCCTTTGCTCCCCTATTTCTTCACGAATTAATACTGCACTTATTGCATGTTCTGAAACGGCTAAGTACAAAAACAGTTCTTCTCCAGGTTCAGGTGTTGAGAGGACTGGAGCCGTGGTCAGATATTTCTTTAGGTCGGCCAAGGCGGCCTCACTTTCCTCAGTCCATAGGAAGTCCGTGGCCTTTTTCACCAGGTTGAAGAAAGTTTACATTTGTCTGAGCTTCGGCTTATGAACCTGTTTAGGGCTGCGGCCCTTCCAGTAAGCATCTGAACCAGTTTTGCTGACGTCGGGCTTTTCAACTCTAGGATGGCCTTGATTTGATCTGGGCTGGCCTCAATGCCCTTTCTTGTTACCAGGTACCCCAGAAACTTACCTGATCCAACTCCAAACGCGCACTTTGATGCGTTAAGTCGGAACCAGTATGTTTTGAGTATATCAAAGACCTTTTTTAGATCGGCAAGATGGCCCTTAGGTTCCTTGGTCTTCACGACCATGTCGTCGATATAGACTTCAACTGTTTGGCCAATCAGGTTTTTGAACATCTTGGTTACCAACCTTTAGTAAGTTACTCCTGCGTTTTTCAACCCAAAAGGCATTACCTTGTAACAATACAGCCCTTTCGGGGTGATAAATGCTGTCTTCTCCTCGTCTGGGGGGTACATGGCTATCTGGTGGTATCCTCTGTAAGCGTCCAGGAAGCTCATCCTTCCATGTCCAGATGTGGCGTCTACCAACTGGTCAATCTTGGGTAGAGGAAAGCAGTCTTTGGTACAAGCTTTGTTCAGGCTTGTAAAATCTACGCAGACCCTCGATTTACCGTTTTTCTTCTTTACCACTACTGTGTTCGATAGCCATATCGGGTAATGAAATTCTCGGATGGCCCTGGCCTCTAGAAGTCTGTCCACTTCTTCTTCTACTGCTTCGACGTGCATCAACGTCGGTCTTCTAGCTCGTTGAATCACTAGTTTTGCCAATCTGTCGACATTCAGCCTGTGACAAGTGACCTCGGGGTCGATGCCAGGCATTTCGTAAGGTGTCCAGGCGAACACCTCAATGTTGGCTCTTAGAAAAGTCTCCAACTCTCTTTCTTCTTCTTCGACTAAGCCCGAGCCGAGAAGAAAGAAGCGTTCTTCATCCCCATCCTGGATGAGGATTTTCTTTAGCGCCTCTTCGCTCTTCTCAGCTGGTTCTTTGCCAACGTCTTCTAGGACTTCCACGTTCTCATCTTCAATTTCTGCCTTTTCTGGCTCTCGAACACTGTAAGTAGACTTCATTGCTGCCATGGAGCAACTTTTTGCCTGCAGTTGATCTCCTCTGACTTCTTCAATCCCATGCTCTGTTGGAAATCGCAGTAGTTGATGCAACGTTGAGGGAACTGCCCCCATTGCATGCAACCATGGTCTTCCCAAGATGATGTTATATGGCGAAGGCGTGTCAATCACCATGAATTCTGTCCTAATCTTCTTAGTGCCAGCTTGTACTTCCAAGCTTGTTGCGCCCAGTGGCCACGTCGGCGTTCCATTAAAGCCGACCATCGGGTTATTGAATTACTCCAAGTCGTCAGGATGAAGGCCCAGCTCCTTGTAACATCTAACATACATGATGTCACAAGAGCTGCTTTGATCAATCAGGATGCGTTTTACTTGGCACTCCCCAACCTGGAGGGATACTACCAAGGCATCATTATGTGGATGCTGGACCATCTCTAGGTCGGCTTCAGTAAAATCTATCGTCGGTCCTTGGCATTCTTTAGGCCGAGGTCTTTTGTGTCCGACGTGGTTTATGTGTTGTAGATGTTTTACCCTCTGAGTCTCCCCTCGTATGTCGTTTTCGTTCACCTTTGAGTGACTTACATTGACCACCCGTGGTCCTCCTAACTGTGGTTGCTGAGCTGGGGGAGGCGGAGTTGCTGGTGCTTGAGGCAATCTTGCCTGTTCTTCTCTAGTCCTGGCCTCATCAACAAGGTCCCTCAGATGTCATTGCCTTACCAAGTCTTCTAAGTGTGCTTTTAGGGCTCTGCAGCCCTGAGTTGGGTGCCCTTCTTCATTGTGGTAAGCACAACACCTACCAACGTTTCTTCCCATAAATTCCCCTGGTGTTCTTGTCGGTCCTCTAAAATATGGTTGGTTTCGTATTTGATCCAAGACTTTGTGGATCGGGACTCGGAATATAGTCGTTACTGCCTGTTTAGCCCTCAATTCCGTTTCTTGTTTGGTTGGTCCATTGTTGCCTCGGCTTCGCTTCGGCGAGCCGTTCCCTTTCTCTTGCTTTGTTTCTTTATTTCCCGACGCATCCTCCTCGGCTCTGGCGTACTTCTCGATTCTTGCCATGAGTTCTTCCATGCTTTTTGGCAATGTTTTTGCCAAAGATTTTTGTAGTGGGCAGTCATCTTTCAGGCCGTTTTTTAAGGACACGACCGCCACCTCTTGGTTGCAATCAGGTATTCGATTGAACACCTCATAGTATCTTTTTACGTAGGCCCTAAGGCCTTCATCCTTGGTGATTTTTAAAGCCATCGATGCGTCGACCCTCAAGGGCTGTAGTTTATTTGTCACAAACCTGGCCACAAACATCTCGGCCAGGCCTTCCCAAGTTTTTACGCTTCCCTTTGGTAGTTTATGGAACCAATCTGATGCAATTTCCCCGAAGGATGAGGGAAATACTTTGCAGAGCAACGGCTCGTTCCCACTATATAACGCCATTGAATTCAGGTATAGTCCAACGTGAAAATTGGGATTTGACTTGCCATCATATATCCGGAACCTTGGCATACTGAATCTCTTTGGTGCTTCAAATTTGTCTAGTTCCATCGAGAATGGTGTCCTCGGCTTAACCGGGGAAGTTACCTCGGCTTCAGCATTCTGTTGCTTCCTCTTGAGGTAACCTCTCAAGTCTTCTTTACTCCTCCCTAGAGCTCGGCTATCTCTGGACTTCAATCTCTTCGGCACACTACTTTCGGCCTCGTGGTGGGCTCATTTTGATCTCTCTCCATGTGTTGTGTCAAAGCAGAGCTCCTGCCCTTGAACATGCCGATGTTCTTTGGGTTCTGGATCCTTCGTGTGATACGTTCTTCGGGACTCCTCTCGTCTCGGTTCCTCTTGCCCGCCTTCCCTGGAAGGTCGGTGAGAGTGCCTTCCGCTCCTGGTGTGCTGAGGGACTTCGGGGATTGTTCTTCTTCCTCCCTTCTGGGTGTTAGTTGCTGGCATCGGCGTATCCTACAGCGGGTATGATGGCTGCATGACATTGTTTTGCATCATGAAGTTGACCACTGACTGTAGGTCTGCCAACTTGTTTGCCAAGTCTTTTACTTCCTCATCCCTCCGTAGGCACCTATCCCTCCATACCTGAAGGTTATCTTCGTTATAGTACTTGCTTTGATCTGTCCTCTTCGAAGTGTCACCCTCCTGGCCGACGTCTTTCTCTCCGTGGCCCTGGCCATGAGTTTCTGCATTGTGGTTGTCTCCTTCAACGTCAAGGTCAATTGGTCTGCCACTCCCAACAGGAGTGTCGCCCCCAATGTTTTTCTTCTGTCCGTTACTGGCCATCTATTCTTCTAAGTTCCCACAGACGGCACCAAATTGTGTGAGTAATTTTCTGACCACACTGCCCGCCTAGTAATCAGCTGGAGAGCACCGACAGAATAGATGGCTTCAGCTAACCTGTAACAGAAAGAAAAGGCTCCGGCGGTGGCTCTTCCACCCGGGGGCACTCCGACGATCAAGTCAGTATATCTCTCAAAGATAAATCAAATACTAAACTCACTATTCAAAGCATAAAACTGCATACCTTAGACCCACGAGGGTGCCTCTCTTTTATAGTTCACTTAATCCTAGTCTCATTAGAAGCCTGACTTCTATGGACTCCAACTCAATACCTACTTTGGACTCCTCAAGAGATAAAGATAAACTCCCTAAGAGATTTATCCTCATCTTGACTAAGTCTCCTCTTCATTCTGGGACTCTTGTACCTTATCCGTTTATCTCGGATTCCGATATCTTCGAAGATAACCTCGGCCTTACCGAGATAACCTCGGCGTTACGACCAGGACATGTGTCATTGAAGGAAATCAAAGATAGAGAGTTGTTAACATAATCAATTAATGATTTGTTTGAGAAATTCTTTTTTATGAGTAAGACAACAAACTTAGATTAAAAAATTTTAAAAATTACTTATAAACTATAATTAAAAGTTGATATTTATTCATAATTTGATCCCACAATAACAATATACATCATTGATTTAAAAATCTAAGTAAATTTATAATAACTTTTTTGAGTTTATAGAATTTCTTTCTTTTAATGTTTTGTTTAATTTGATACAAGTTATTTATGTTATCAAGTGATTGTGATACTATTATTCTCAATAATTTTTATAATTAATAATTTTTTTATGCATAGACATAATTTAAGATTAAAATAATTTATTTATTTCATAAAATAAAATTTTTTATTAATTATTGACTTTTTACTAGTAATCCTAATACAGATGTAATTAGTCAGCATTATACCCTAACGCCTCTTATTTCTCCTCCCCATCCTCACCGCTATATCATATATGTTTTTGCTGGTCTTTTTACAACCACCAGGACTCTTTACCTCCCTCTCTCGGTTAGTCACTGCAAAAACCTTGTAAGATTTGCAAGTGGAAGATTTGCTCAGATTTTGGAATATTTGCTCCAATATGTGAGTGTTTTCCCCCAATTTTTAGGGTTTTAAATTTAGCGATTTTGCCTTTCTCGCAAGAATGCTCTCCGCTTCTAGTGGTTCAAACAAGTTTTCCAATGCAAACCCAATTTCTACACGACCATTGTTTTTTATTTTCTGCGTTTGATTATTTTAGCTTTTTGCATTGCATTAGTTTATGGGTTTTGATTTTGGATTATTGCAGTAGTTTTGTTGCTTTGTTTATCTATATGTGTATTGATTTATGTTTTTCTTACTACAGAACCCTGAACCCAACCTGAATCGATTGATCACTAGCTTCATTTGCACCAAATTCAAATGCTCTTGGTAAACACTAATCGATAGCACATTTTGGGGAAGCCCAAGAATGCTTGCTACTTCTAAGTGGTTCAAGCAAGTTTCCCAATGCAAACCCAAATCCTACATTTCTAGTATTGAACAAAAGGCATGCTTGAATTACCAAATTCATCGTCTTATAGGAGAAAAAGTAAATGGCAAGAGAACATGGTGGTTTGATAAGCATGTTAATGGGTGCCTTCTAACATCTTCTCATGCATTGCGACGGAGAAGATATTACCAGCACACTGTAAGTTCTTGCTCTTCACAGCTCTGCTTTTGTGAACTTAGGAACACTAATGTCTCGTTGTTTTGTAAATTCTATGATCACCGTGTTTGCTGATTTGCCTTGGTTTTTTGTTATAGTGAAGACTGTAGTCACTAGAACTCTTATTTTGGGTCGTCATTTTTATCTTATCTTGGTGTTTGGTGAATTCATTTGTGCACTTGGCTGTGGTCAGTTGTTTGTCTGGAAGTTGTCACAAGCAAAGTGTTCCTTGTTAATTCAGGATTTCCCTTTTAAATAAAAAATTTGGAATGTCTAAGTTCTGTCTTTAATGTGTGATTTTAGATTGAATCTCAATGATATGAGCACATCCATATAAAGAAATTATGGTCAACCCAATCGTGAGATAAACCCAAAGTCTTCTAGTCCCATTTCCTATTTGAGGTGCGCAATTTTATGAATGGGATTGAATCACCAGACACTTTCTATTTCCCTAGTATTGTCATGAAAAGGAAATAGTTATCTTTGTAACGTATAAACCAAAATAAAATATGTTAAGATTTAACACTTCTGTAGAACACTTTAATCATGAGTTCACAATCTTTTATTATCATTGTCATGGCCTTTATGTCTATGAAGCATCCTTAGGAGGGGCTTGAATCGCTTTTAGAGAGTAAAGAAGATTCCAGTGCACTATGATAAGTCAGTACTCTTGAAGTTCAAGGCTTTGAAAATTCCTATTTGATTGAAAGGGAAAAACTGTATGGAAGTGAGCTTTGACATTTGAAAATAGAATGCGCGAGTACAGGGCATGGCTTTGCTAGTATAATATTGAATCATTTTATGCTTCCTAAAAACACAAAGCAATATTCAAGTGGCTTGTCCTGGAATGTTGTCTGAGCTGGTTGAGGCTTTTGCTTAGGAACAGTTGGCCTCGTCTTCCCAACTTACCCAATGCATGTGGTTCTTTTGTCATTGTGTCTAGGAAGCATGGATAAAGATATGAAATACGGATACGATACGATATGATATCGATACGGTGATACGAAAAGAACTTTAAAAAAATAGAATACGGGTACGAGTAGAATACGTTTGTAAAAAAATATATTTTCTAAAATTATTAGTAGTGATTGAGTTACACATAAGTTAAAAAATGTTGAGAAACCACAATATAATTTATAATGCAAAATACTAACATTTAAGAATTAGGTATTAATTTAAGTTAGTAGCTAGTTTACCTTTTAAATTTTTGATAGGTCTTGCAAATATTTCATTTATGTTTATATTACAATAATAGAATAATCTACAACTTGTCTCTGTGCTTTTTTCCTTTGGCACTAGTAAAAAATGTTGTATTCAAGTTTACTTGCTTATTTATTTATTGATATTTAATTTTACTTGTATTATATATTCTTTTGTTAATCCTTACTTTCTATGTAGTTATAGGAGACATGCATGAAACAATTAGGATACATCAATTTGACAAATTCTATTATTTAACTCACTATGTTCTTATTATCAAAGAATTAAACAAAGTATTAGAATAATGTTCTTATATTTGTCCTTGCAACTATATTATATTATATACTATGCAAGAAATGCTACAATTCTAATTTCGTAAAGCAAGTAACACATGACTTGGAGTATGTGATACTTCAATTATCCAATACTCTAAAATTAGTGAAAAATTAATTAAGTATCCAATACATATCCACTAGTATCCAAGGAGCATCGGTATCTGATATGGATACAACACGGATATGTCACGTTATTTGAAGTATTCGTGCTTCATAGCATTGTGTGCATCCATGAGGATTATTCTTGACTCAGAAAGTGTTGGGCAATTCCCTTTTCTCTGATAAGTAAAATTTTGTTATAGAGTGCTACAAAGATTGGGGAACACCCTGGCAACCCCTTCCCCGTCAGGGAAAAAAATTTAAATGGCTTTCTCTTAATGCCATTGTCCATCAATGTAAAATTTTGAATAAGGACGAGAAGGGACATTTGCAAATTTGGGGTATTAAACAAACAGAGTAGCTAAGAGCTAGACTTGTGAAGAAGCTTTCTTTTGCTTGGTCATTATTGAACTAGTTAAGCTAGTAAGCTTGGATTGATTGTACTTGTGAACAGTTGCAATTTGAGCACATATTACAACTCCCAAAACGTAACTGATTAATGTAATTTATTTGAAGAAAATACTTAGAAGGAAAAATGCTGACTGCATGAAGTTAGTGTGATACAATGAGGAATTAAATAACAATTTGCAGTAAATTAAAATCACAAAATTTATTTTGGTAAACATAGGAGCATTGTATTTTGGATGTAAATGATTAAAGACCATATTGTGGAATGCTCATGATCTATGGACCCTACTTATTGAGCTTAAGAAGGTGATGGGAGCTGGCTGATCATTGACTAGACACAAGATTGATAAAGTTCAGCTAAAGGGGCTTAAAATCCCAATACTGGACTATGCTTTGCTTGTTTGCCCCACTGTTTCGTTTGTAAATTATGTTTCTTAAATTTTTTGGCTAAGTTGATAATATTGATGATTTTAAATTTTAAATTTCACAAGTTATGTATCTAGACTTTATTTATAATTTTTTATGGCTCTACCCTTTTTATTTTCTATTGAATTAGCAACCCCATTATTACTCAGCCATGCAAGGCTGCTCTTTCAGACATTAATGCTAGCTGTTTGGAAAGCAAGTTACAAATTGCATTTTGCTGACCTTGTTAATAATGTCTGGATTTCTAATACAGAATTTTATTACATACATCCTAGTTGGGGTTTCCTGGATCTGGCCATCTTTTGCCACTGTGAATAATTCCATTGGCAATTATCAGTCATTAGCAACACAAGCTTCTCCTTCTGAAGAAGAACTGACTGATGAATTCTTGAATCAAATCATGTCTGCTATAGAGAATGCTCCAATCTCCACTAGGGAAATCTGTACTACTTACATTGAAAAGCTGTGTAGAGATGGAAATCTTGCAGTTGCCACTAGGCTACTGAAGTCCTTGCGTGATAAACACATCTTCCTTAGCGCCTATGCATATAATCTTCTTTTGATAGCAGCAGGTGAAGGGAGTGACATTGCTCTTCTGTCTCAAGTTTTCAAGGATCTATTGTTAACTAGTGAGTCCGTAAGTTCAACCTCTTATCTTAATCTTGCCAAGGCTTTTATGAACATAAATGATGTGGTCTTGTTACTCGGATTGATCAAAGAAGTATCAGAATTGACCTTTCCAAGAAGTGCAACAGTAACAAATAGAATCATCTTTGCCTTTGCTGAATGCAGGCAGATTGATAAGGCCCTGTTGATATTTGACCACATGAAGAGTCTGAAATGCAAACCAGATTTGATTACATATAATACTGTTTTAGGGATCTTGGGTAGGGTTGGTCGTGCAGATGAAATGCTTTTTGAGTTTGCCTCCATGAAAGAGGCCAACATCATCCCAGATATCATTTCCTATAATACCTTAATAAACAGCTTGCGGAAATTGGGAAGATTGGATATGTGCTTAGTATTTTTGAAAGAGATGGAAGAGAGAGGACTTGAACCAGATTTGCGAACATACACTGCATTGATTGAGAGCTTTGGCAGATCGGGGAATGTTGAAGAATCATTGAGGCTCTTCAACGAGATGAAGCGCAGGCGAATTCAGCCATCTATCTACATTTACCGGTCATTGATCAATAATTTAAAGAAGATGGGGAAGTCAGAGTTGGCAATGAGTTATTTGGAGGAGATGACTACATCTTTTGCAGATCTTGTTGGTCCAAAGGATTTCAGACGAAAAAACAGATAGTTTAGCACTCCAAACTTGATATTTTGATTTTCCACTGATTGCAATAGCTTGAAGCTCGTCAATTTGCTTCCTAATTAAAGATGGGGAAGTTGAAGTTGGCAATGACCTTTTTGCAGGAGATGAATATATCTCTTGCAGATCTTGTTGGTGGCCCCGAGGATTTCATACACAAAAAAGAAGAAAATGGTTTAGCACTCCAAGCTTGAGACTTTGAATCCTCACTGACGCAGCAGAAAGCTCAAGGAGAATTGTTGCTTGTCTTCTTTTATATAGGTACATAATTTTGCTGCCCGTGCCAATTTTTCTGTTGTTCCCATACTGTTTCAGATCAAATCTTCAACTTAAAACAAATCCGAAGGCAATTTCTATTCATTGCAGTAGTATCAAACATCCTGATCAACATCATCCAAATAACTGTAGGCAGATTATTTGAGTTCATCTGCATTTAATATAACCTGACAAATATACTTAAAAGAAAACTTACTGACCAACGTCCTCTGAAGATCTTAATTTGATTCAAAAGAAATGCCTTGGTACTTTTATATTTTCCTACTGTTTCCCATCCATCCTCCTCAGCATCATATGAGCATTGTGATTTCATCAGCATTCTATCATACATTAAAATCATCTGTATCTAAGGTGATTTGTTCAAATTAATGCAAATGTAAAACAAAATGGCCTTATGGTTCAACAAAATGGTGGATTAATTAATATATTTTTAATTAATTTTGGGGTTTTATGACAGGTTGGCTTATTAGAGGTATCAGGCAGTTCAAAAAAAAAATCAGCTGCCATTGAGAAACACATCTGCAAATCGGTAACATCCTCCTACATGAGTGGAAGCCCTTAAAGAGGCATAAGCAGTGTTGTGGTCCGTGGGAGAATCTTATTTCTATCTTTCTCAAGATTAATGCTGGAACAAATGTATGAAGCTTTTGTCATTCCAAGGCCCTTGCTATTCCATCTTCAGCAACTGGTTCTGGTAATGAATATCTATATGGGAAGATGCAGTCTACTTAAAATCAGATGCAAATTCAGGATTGCGTTTGACAACAGGTGCAGCCCCAGGGTATGCCTTGGATTTTTGTCATCCTCATCAAATCATTGGTTATGAGCCTTGCAATGGTGGTCGATGATAGTTGTCTATTCATTGGTGTATTGATTGAAAAACCTGTATGTGTATTTTGATTGGCAGATAAGATGCAACTTATTTGTTTCATAATAATCTCAATACAAAAGTACATGTTAAAATAATAATGAAAAAGATGGAGAAATACAAATTTTTTAGGTCACTTTGTTCTCATTGATTCTTTGACAGTCAGCATGTTAGTTTCTTTAGTATGTTTTGTTGGAGCCGAATCTTCTGAATGTTGATCTTCTGGTAAGAAATCACTTGATGGAGGATGCTTCGAATCACATTATGGAGTAACAATCAATTGCCAAAATGCCTGATAAACATCAACCTGTTAGGACAGTCCGATGCACCAGTTCCTGGGATTCTGGACCAGCTAAGGGAATGGCAGAGTTGATTGTATGGAAATCATACTCTGCAATGAAGAGAAGCAGAGCTAGAAGTTTGTCAGGCCTCAAGTTTTACAGTAGAAGATGAAAAATATGGGAAGGGTTTCCCCCCATTTCTCATTTTTCAAAGTATAGTTTTGAAATATACAATAATTGGTGTGCCGCGGGGCATAATTCTTCTAATGGTGGGGTTAAGCATTCTTTTGCTTCCTTTACGATATTTAAATGTCTAGTTTTGCCTCCCTTGTAATGCCATAATGTGATGGAATGTTTAGGAATCATTGGGACTCTTTGAAGAGATGAAGCACATGTGAGTCTTTTCCTCCTATATTGTTTTAAGATATATATATATTTTTTAAATTTTGTTGAGTTTGTTGTATGCTTGCTATTTGTTAGACTTCATTTTAGAAAGTTAATGTCAAAATTAATTTGATTAGAAACTTTTCAATAGCAATGTGAGTCAAAGTAGAGCCTGATCCTATTGCAAAGCTCCATGTTTATAGCTGTGATTGCTTAGCTCTGTTTTAGCTCATTTTACTTTTCTCTTCTCTTCTTTTTGTTCTGTTTTTTTGGTACAGTAAGATTTTCTTGATTTGGTGGCATGTAAAGCATCTAACTGCAATGACCTCTTTAAGAAAACAAAAAAGAAAAAGAAAAAAGATTAGCAAAAACAAGATTTTGGGAAACTAGACATTTTCTGACTTCATCAAATATGGGTTATTAACATAATTTGTTTAGAAAACAACAGATTTCGTACCAATACCACAACTATTGACAACATTTTTGGGTGGTTTTTTCTTGTTTTCCCAAATGAAGCTTTAATATATTTTAACTTCAAAAGTTGTAAAGCATCAAATACAAACACAAATTAGCTGATGTTGGTTACTACTAAATGGTGCAAGGATTAAAAAATAAATAAACAAAAAACAAACTTTTTCACAACATAACAACAAAGTTGACATGACCAGCCATCATTCTTCAGTTTCAAAAATAGTGAAACTTAGAACACTACTGTGAAATTCTTCACCAATTTCAAAAACATTTTTATTTATTTATTGATCTAAGATCAATTTTTTAACCTATTCAACACTTTTCTAACTAATCACATAATTCAAATTAATTACATACACAATTTATATATTAGTTCCTCGACAGCATTATGTTTATATCCCACCTGATTGTAGATAATAAATACATCTGCATAAATCAGTTGTCCAAGAATCCACCAGAAATGAACATGAGAGAGAGAGAGAGCATAAACATAACCATGCCACTTCTGGAAAGACTAGCGTTTAACCAAGTTGTTGAAGCTCAAATCAAATTCGACTTGAATCTCTCCCAAAAATGAATCTCCTTGTCCAATCAGAAACAACTAAAACCCTTGTGCGCCAGCTTACTTGCTTGCTGAAAATGTAAAACAGAAGAATAAAAAGAATTAGATACGCCAACATTACACCTCAGTCTAATCTAAGGAAACCACAATGCAGTTCGAGCAGAGAGCAGTAAAGGATCGATCACCTTGCATATACAGAATACCACAGCCACTGAGTGCTGTGACCCATTGATACCCAGTCTCCAGGCAGTTCTGCTGCTGTCTGTTCTCCTCCCAGAGGCGCAAATTGCCCTAGATGCTTGTACCTTGAGACCAAATTGCCCTACTTTTAACTTAACTCTTATCTTTTATGTCTTTTTTATGGATGATTTATTAATTATTTAAATCTAATTAAGCAAAAAGTAAATATCCAACATCTCTATCAAAAGAACTAAAGGAGAGGGGGAAAAAAACTAGTTGATATGTCCGCTGAAGACAAGTAAATTTAATAAAGAGACATGGCACGGGGCATGTCCTATACATGTCCCCACCATGTCTCGTATCTGACACCATTACAACACCTTTTTTGGAGTGTCAGTACTTCGTAAACTACAGTAGTTTATATAACGTCTAGGCAATCGTAAGTTTTTTCTCCCTTGCCAAATTATCACCAATCATTTAAGAAAGATGAACCTTGCTAATGTTATGATTACCGGAAAGGACGAAATTGATGACGTCCAGAACCTCTGAAGCGGCGAGGGCCTTCTGGTTTACTATCACACTGCTCCATACGGTTAAAGCACCTAGAAAGATATGTTCCTTGTTGAGCAGCGACCTAAGATGCCAAAATATGACAACAAATAGAAGTCACTACATTCTCCTTGGCAGCAGAAAACCATGAAACATGAAGGCTGTATTTGGATCAAGGATTTGACGATATGCGAAGGAAAATGAATGAAATAGAAGCTAAATTCTTGTCACATCTTCCATTCTTTTTTCCTTTCCCTCCATAAATCTCTCCTTAAATCTTATATACAAACAAAAACTAAGAGGTAAGAATCTTTTAAGCCCTCACTAAGAAAATGAACTTGTAAATACCTGAGCAGTTGCAGGAAGACTCTTCGTCTGTGAATCCACAAGACAAAGGGCTGACTTGAACTCTTCATAATTCACCTCTTTTCTTTCATTACCGTCGGCATCTTTCAAGAGGTATGTCACATCAGGCAAATGGTTGCTCTTTAAATAAAGTTCCACTTGGGGGTACCTTACAAGGATGTCTTCAACTACATCTTTAAATTCTTCATTGGTTAGGGTACCAGAATTGTCTTTGTCAGCAACCTTAAATATGTTCAAGATATCTTCCTAAAAGAAAATGATGTCCAGTAAAATGTTTTATTGTAAAAGTAGTAAAGATAATGGTTCATAATGATGCTTTCGATTAAGTAGATGTGATTACTAAACTACTAAGCAACAAAAAACATATGATAATCCTAAACCTACGAGGGTTGAATGTGTGAGACATGGTTTGTAATGAATGAAAGGAAGGAATTTTTGGCAGAATATAATACCACAATCACACACATTCTGTTTTAGTATCTCATGAAATGTTCTTTTTCTCATTCTCACCAAAAAAAAAAAAAATTCTCCTACCGTCAGCTCACTTGGTTTTAATTATTTCAATGTAGAATTTTGACAGTATATTAAATTTCTAAAAGGCACTATTTCGTGAAAACCCCAGTTGAGGCTCTCAACTGTTAATGATGTTTGACAGGGCAAGCTCTATCCATGAACGTCACACAGTTACTCATCATTCCTGAGTAAACAAAGCAAATACCCAAGTGCAGATTCAGATTCCTATGCTGTTATTTCCATTTTATGCCCTTTTGCCCTAAGGGAAGTCATGATGCATTGCTCAAAAGACAATGTAGGCAGTCCATTGAACAAATTGACTAATGACACAATACATCTAAATGCCAACATGACCATGTCACCCATAACTTGATCAAATTACATGTAGATTACTCACTATCATCATCAAAATCCATAAATAAATAAATAAATAAAAATGGTTGGTGGCCTCGATGATTAGTTAGTGATTTATTACACTACATCCTGGATGGATCAATCACCCCAATGAGTAAGCCAATTGACTAACCAAGTAGGTCAAACCTTACATACCATGATTTTACGTTGATCTATAGTAGCACAATCACCAAGCGCGTACACATCTTGACATCCCTTTACTCGCAACCATTCATCAGTCGCTAGGACACGTCTTTTACCCTGCATTTAGATCAAACCCTAAATTATTACTTATTAAGCTTTGCTTGTTTATGAAATTTCAATGAATAAAAATCTCATAAAATTTGTGGTTGCATGCATCATTGGTAGATAAAGATGTATGTAACTATGAAATTGAACAGCACAATAATACACAAACCTGGCCTATTTGTTCCATCAAGTCCTTCACAACTGGACGAGCCCCAACTCCAGTTGACCAGACCACCATTCCGTGTGGCATAGACAGAACCTCTCCACTTGACTTCATCTTCATATTAATAAATTTGTCGGAAACACTTAGAACCCGAGATCCTGTTAGAACTTCAATTCCATCTCTTTGAAATTTCTGTTCAGCAAATGAACTGATTCTATCATCAAACCTACAGAGACATGAAAAAACGTATCTTCTGAGTTTTCAAGTTTTGCTCCCACCTTTTTGTTGCATGATCACACTGTAGAGCTATCATGTAAAATAAATTGCATGAGCTAAACTGATTGATAATAGAGTTCTTGATTGTGCATAATCAAAAGCCAACAAAGCTTAGACAAGAAGCATTAAAAAGTACTAGGCTTCTCGAGCAGTGAAAATAAGACTGGTAAGAAATATTTCCCATCTACTTGTTAGTACAATCTATACACATGAAGCTACTCAAACTTCCTACAGATGAGTCCTATACAAAACACAAACATTTATATATACATCAGGAAAATGAAAACAGAAAAGTTTAGGTAAGACCCATTTGAAGCAAATTAGGAAGATGTTTACAGATGAGGTGCACAATTAAGTTCCAAGACTAGGCATGCGAAATTCAACTGTCCCTGTTAAAGCTCTGTTTATAGAACTCAACCCCAAACCTTTGTCCCAACCACTTACATGGATTCATTAAATGGATCTGTTTCCTCCAATTGCCACTATTAAGGTCATCTCCTCAGTTAGGTATGAGGCAATCATGTCCTTTCTTACCGCCTCAGCCAGTGCCCTGGAAGCTTCTATTCACACACAACAAAAATTCTCAGTTCACACCATTTTACTGTTCAGATATCAACTTTCGAGCAATAATCAGTTGTTCGTATATCAATGTTCGAACGAAAACACTGTTCGGTAGTTGATATCTGAACAATTCGTTTTTGTTCTCGGAAGTTGTTATCTAAACAATTGATTTTTTTTTGGAAGTCGATATCCAAACGACAAAAATGGTGTAAACTGAGACAAAGTGTAGTGTTCAAATAGAAACTCAATTGTGTCCTTCTTGGCCTATATTTTTCCTGTACTGTTAAACAATCATTGCTGACTATTTAAGATGTGAGGGGAGAATTAAAATTAGGAATATAAGAAGATGCATATAAAACCATGCTACATAGAGTAAGATAGGATGCTAGGAAGTTGAAATCACTCTATAAAGAAAAAATCCTAAATTTCAAATACAAACCATCTTATTGTTATACGGTCTTGGGTAGAATTCAACCCCAAAAGTTAGCTATTAAGGTGACGGTGCCCTCACACTTTTATGCTTAACATTACTTTAGTACTCGGGCGATGAGGGCCTTCACTTCGAACCCTCCCTCACACCCTAAGTGCTCACTCGGCTGCACCTGTGGTGTGCAGGCTAGGGACATGCACCCTACCCATCCCTGAGTACTCCTACTTTGATACCATATTATACAATCTTGGGTAGAACTCAACCCCAAAATCTAGCTATTTAGGTGAGTGCCCTCACGCTTATATGCTTAACATTACTTTAGTGCTCAAGTGATGGGGGACTTCGCTTCACTTATAAATGACGATGGAATAGAAAATCTCATTTCCAATGCATTCAAGAAGAAGGAGAAAAGAAAAACGAAGAGCACTCGTCAAGGGATTAGATTTATTAAGATACCATACTACTTCAATCACAAACATGTTCAAATACAAAATTAAATAGACAGTAAGAATGCGATATCCTTACGTGTTCAAGATATGATCTCCAGACTGAATCACTGTTATTTTCACTAGATCTTTAACTGAATGATATATCTTGACCAAGTCTTCCTGGACAAAGTCATGCAGCTCTGCAGCAAATTCCACACCAGTTGGACCCCCACCTACAATTATAAAATGGAGGTTTGTCCTTCGCTCTTCCTCACTCAGGCCCGGAAGGACAGCCTTTTCAAAACAATCTATCACACACCTACGGATCTTTTGAGCGTCCTCTACTTCCTGCATGAAATGTCATAGTTTCTTTCAATAAAAACCAAATCCAAAACTTCCAAAAGAGCCTAATAGAATTTCATAATACTATTTTCTCATCAAAATTTTTTTTGTTCTTATTATCAATTTCCAAGATAGAGGAGGTATGTAAGAAGTTCTAGGGAAAATAAGAAGCACCCATCTGTGATTCGCATTGCATGTATGTAAGACACATGCACTCATATACATGCTGTACGGATCATTCTGGGTGAAGCAGGGATTACTCTTACCTTGAGAAAATAGCAATACTCCAAGACACCAGGTGTGTTAAAAGTATTTACTTGTGCTCCTATTGCAATGACCAAATAATCATATTCTAGGGAAAAATCATTATTCCCCACTAAGTTTTCTGGCAGATTAGACTGGCAGAAAACTTTTTTGTTCGCTGTATCAATCTTGAGACATTCTGCTTCACAAAAGTTAATTTTTCCACTTTTCTGCCAGGGAAAAACATAAATGCATTAGCAAAATTCCTATAATCGAGTGCAAATTTCCACAAAGAAAGGTCAACAAAACCTAGAGCAAATTACAGAGCAATGATCGCACAACAAAATATCAATATGTCCACTTTGATCACAGCTAGTCCCAAAAGTTTAAGTTGCGAAGATATGGGCCTAATATTGTATATCAAGCTATCCAACAGGGTTCAAACAAATAAACTTTCCAAACAGGAGACCAAATCTAAAAAGAGAGACTTGAATTCAAGATCTCTCAAAACCAAAACTCTGATATTATGTTAGATCACCAATTGCTCAAACGCTCAAGTTGTAAGAAAATAGGCCCGACATTGTATGTCAGGCTATCCAACACATTTAATCTTCTTTATGTAGTGAAATTGATAATATATACACACTCTTAAAATAATGGCACTACATTTTTCAAACATATGCAGAAAAATTGAAACTGTAATCTATAATCAATATGTTTTCTCGCATATTCTTTGAGCTATATCAACACAACAAAACAAAATATATTTTATAATTAGCACCAACAAATATTTCTGGTTTGTAACAAAAATGCAGTAAACAAATTTCCAATAATTAGTCAATTTTACCTTCTTTATCATATTCCGAATTGGCTCCACAACACTTCGTGCCTCCACTGTTCCACATGTGACGCTAGGCAACAAAGGAGTGAAAGCAAAATAGTTACGGGGAGAAACCACCTGAACATCATATGATGACATGTCGAGATCCCTTAGAAAACTGGTACCAGCCCATCCTGTTCCAAGCACCACCACCCTCTTCTTCTTGGATTCCGCTTGACTAAGTTCAGCACTGTGTTTTCCACTATTTGTTTGTGACTCCGAAAATGCGACAAGACCTCCACTACTGCAGTAACTAACATATAGTAAGAAATACAATTCACAAGAGAGAATGGCTACAAACTGAAAATCAGAACATTGCTAGTAAAGCATCTAGAACAATTCATCTAAATTCTCCATTCCACTGAGAAACTAGATACTAGACCGTAGACCTTAATTGTTAAGTTTATCAAATTCTTTGTCAAAGCCTCACAAATGTAATGCGCTATCCTAATTCCTAAAAGAAGGGACAAATGATCACATTTTTGGGGTCATTCAATCAGGAGGGCTGGGTTTTTAGGCAACTAGATTGAGAACAGGACCAGCGCCATAAATATACACAGTCTGTCTTGTTGCTCATCCCAAACCATATTATTGACATTCTTGAGGTATGTGTGTCAACAACATTTCCAACACAAAGCGAGCAAATGTAATATTATTTACCTACTAGATAAGATCCAACAGGACAACACAACTTTTTATGAAAAAAGATGTTTATATTGTAAGATTTCAGCTATTCAATCAAGCTAGTCTTCCATCAAGTGGAGTGTTTTTAGTAGAGAATAACCAGGGATAAGGTAGAAATACGGATTCTCCGCTAAGGAATTGCGGTCTTCTCTCAAGTTTATGAGGTAATTACTATACTTATACCTCAAAGCTTTTCATCTAAAGGCCTAGCTCTTATGTCTTCAACTAATCAAAGTGGGGCTACTCCAAGGGAGTGAGCTAGACAACTCTGACAATCCCACCGCTCCAGCTGCAATCCACAAGTCTCTGGTGATCCCGCCAAGAGAACATGGGTTGCTTGGGCATTCCATGGCCAAGGAACCAACCTTGAGGGGGTCCCTAGACCCTGCTCCTGGCCTAGGAAGGCCATGCAGCATCACGGTGACATTTTGGAGTTGGAACCTTGGTAAGGCAACGTGACCACAGAGTGTGTGAGGTGAGGCGCATGTTGTCAAACAGGTAGCCACTGAGCGGAGGTAGTGAGGTGAGCTGATGGTTGTGAAGTGAAGTTAGTGTGGTGAGCAAATGGTCACAGAGCGAGGGTTGACCAGAGCACTTAGGCGAGGGAAGACTCCCGCGCCAATGTGAAGTGCTTGATGAGCACCTGTCGAAGCAAGGCTTATGCCTTGAGGGTGTAAGGTCCACTCCTCAATGGTTGTATAACTAGTCGAAGGTATTTAGATGCCTACATATATAATATTAGATTAGCGCACATCATAATGGTTGTAGAAGAGCTTTTCCAGTATTTACAAAAAGGATTGTGATTTCATCACTCTCTAGAAATCCATTCAAGTGGTTTTCAACCAGTTTATGTCCCCATCACAACATTCCCTCTTTTAATGCCTTCAAGTCCAGTAGTAATAGTGGTAGTAGCACCGGTAATAAAAAGGTCTTGCTATATAAAGACGAAAAAAAGTACAAGACAATTTTCACTAATTTGAAAATATTTTCATTGATTTCAAAACTTTTTTTTTTTAAATAAGATTTTCAAAAATTCAAAAAAAAAAAAACTGATAGTTATTTTTGTCAAATTAGTTTATATTAAAAAAAAAAAAAAAAAGAGACCCAAAAGGGCTCTTATTTGCATTTGCCTTAATAAAATAACAATAAAAGTAAGTATAATATTTCTTGCGAAAAAATAATAGCAATTATAATAAACATTAATTAACAGCCTCCCCTACCACGAGTTGAAATAGACATCACACCTTCAATTTGATTCATTCTTTTTCTTTTTTCTTCAAAGTCTACATGTCTCGATTGTTTGGGCACCATAGCCGGCTATTTATAGGAACTTGGTGCAATCTTGAACCATATAATTGAGTAGACAGGACACTTCAATCAGGAGATTAAATTTCTCAAGTTGGACATTAATAGATTTGAGTGACAACCTAAATTACACATAGATCCAACAAGCAAACAAAATGTAGATTTCATTGAAACCATAAAGAAAATGGAGTTTGCTTCACGGGTATAGAAACTCAGACTGTGTTTGGTTTAGGTGTGAAATCATAATTCCACCCTCCAATTTCAGTGTTGTGTTTGGATATAGTTTTCAAAATTTGATTCCACACCCACGTTTGAAAATTATTTTCAGAACATGCTTGGCAGAGTGATTTTCTGAATTTTAAATTTTGAATTTTGAAATTGGGTCTATCTAGTCATCCGCCCGAACATCTTCCCGGACAATTTTTGAATTTTTGGGTCTACTCGATCGTCCGCCTGGACATCCTCCACAACGTTCGGCCGATTGACCAGAATAGTTTTTTTTTTTTTTTTTGAAATTACCACCTGTTATTTGAAGAAAAAAATATATATATTTGTTTTGATATGTTTAAAATATAGAAATTATTTTTTTTAGACTAAAATAATAAATTGTTTGGCCATTTATTTAAAATTAACAAAAAACAATTTAAATAAAAATTAATTTGTCACAGTAATTTTTAAAAAATAAAAAGAAAAACATTTTAAAACAAAACAATCAAAAAAAAATTTCCAATCAAATATACAATTAAAAATAATTTTAAAACACTAACTGAATATTTTTTTAAACAAAAAATCATATATATTTTCCAATATTTTAAGTAAAAAAAATATATTTTCGGAATTTTTTGAATTTTTTAAATGAAAAAATTAATTTTTTTCAATAATTATTTTTTTAATTGAATTTTAAAAAAAGTTTAGTCATGAGCTTTGAATAGAATTTTCAATAGAGTTTTAAATTGTGTATTTAGTTATGAGTACATTTTTTAATTAAGTTTTAAAAACTATTCTTAAAACACATAACGAAACAACTTTTTTTTATTTCAAAACTCATTTAAAACGTTCAAAACTCTTTTCAAAACTCATAACCAAATAAATTTTCTCTTCTTAAATCATGACTCAACAAATCACAAACTCAAAATCCAATTCCATTCTTAAATTATAATTCTAAAACTAAACCAAAATTAAGCCAAACGCTACCTTACATTTGTAGCCAATAATGTAACTGGAGGGGAAGCCTAATCTGTTCTAACAACATTATTGATGTGTTAACTTGGTACTTGTCTAAATTATGGTCAAAATCAAATAATTTGTGGTAAAAAGCAAAAAATCAGCTCAATAAATACCCTAAAATCTCATAAATAAACAAGTAAATAAACAAAGTGGATTACTTTGATTACCTTCCACGTTATGAAAGACCTAATAATCACAACAGTCAGCATAAAGGAAAGGGAAGTGACAAATTAATCTACATCCTAACAATTCTGTTCACAAGTTTCCAACATCACAAACCAATGAAACCACCCATTGTGGTCCATCAAAAACAGAACAAAGATTATTTGAAGCAACAAACTGTGCTGATGAACGCCATTAAACTAACAGAAACAAAGCCAATCATCACATGCTGAAACTTCAAGATCCATAAGGCTGTGTTTGAATCATGAATTTGGGGAGAGATTTGGAAAGTAAGAGCAAAATGTGAGGAGAAAAAAAAAACAAAAACAAAACAAAACAAAGATGGGTGTTTTAAAAAAAAAATTAAACATTAAAATTACAAAACCCACAAGAAGAAGAAGAAGAAGAAGAAGAAGAAGAAGAAGAAGAAAGAAACCAAAGACTAAAAAGAGTAAAATCAAAGGATGTGAGCAAAAAATGAAGTAAAATGGAATGGGGATTGAAATAAAGAAGAAAGTAAAAGAGGGGGTGAGAAGATCCAAAACCTGACAGAGAAGAGAACCAGAAGCTTATAGTGGCCATGGGTAACCCTGTTGATGTATGAGAAAAAGCTCATTGTTCTTGGCCTCAGTTCTTGGAGCGAGCAAGCAAAGCAAAGCAAAGCCTCACTCTCTCTGTATGCAGTGGACTTTTTTTTTTTTTTTTTTTTTTTTTCCTTTCCCAACCAAAATTTTTTTTTTGTTTTTTGGTTGTTGAGCAGATAAAGATTGCTTTTAATAATTTTCCAAACTATAAAGTTTTTCTACTTTTTAATAACTAGGGCAATTACCTACGCCATTGAGTTTTAACTAAATTATAAATTCTCCTCAAAATTTCAAAAAATTACATCTATTACATGACAATTCACGTAATTAACGGAGATAGTAAATTAATTAAAATGTCCTTGAATAAATTAGATTGACACCGCATAAAGTTTTTGTTTAATACAAATCTTTTTTACGTTTGAAAAATTATTGGTCATATCTTAAAATTTTTTAAGTGTTCATCTTATCATTTTTCCTACAATTTCTTCTTCTTCTTATCATCATAACTACATTCTACAACTTTCCATTATTAAATTTTATTTGAACATATTGTTCTTGAGTGATGATATACAAACATAAATTTTATATAGAATTTTTAAACACAATAATATAGTTTAATGGTGACCTTTTACTTTAAAACAAAACATCCATAAATATGATTTATATATTTATAATAATATCACTATCAAAACATTTTTATGATATTTTTTGTATAAATTTTTATATATAAATATAATTTTTCATTTTTATTTCCACCATTATATCTAGATTAGATCAATTTAATTTAGATATATTTAAAAAGTATTAAATTTGTGTAAAAAAAATTTAAAAAATTCATTGAATACAAAAAAATAAATAAAATAATGTATTGAATTTTTCTACACTAATATTTTAATTTCAAGCTACTTCATTACTCTTTCTTCATTCCTTTCATGGTGAAGGGGATTCTATAGTACTTATTTATTACCCAAAAAATAACTATTCATCCAAAAAAAAAAACTCAAAAATAACAAATTAACTGAATAGGTTGTGAATACAAAATTAATTAATTGAATAAGTTATGAAATACAAAATTAAAAGAAAAAACACTTATTAGATAGTGAAAATATCCTAAAATTAACATATAATTAAATAAGTTTCCAACGTAAGAAACGATTTATAAAAAGATTCTTAGGCTATGTTTGGTTTGATTTTTAGAAATTTTTTTAAATAAGAAATAAAAAAAATTACCATTTTTATATAATTTTATCTTTTGATTGGTTAAAAATAAGTTTTACAAATTAAATATATTTTTTCATATTTATCTTTATTAAATTAGTTTATATTTTTTCAAATAAAAATTTGATTTTTTTTTTCTAAATAACAAACTAAATATGATTTCAAAAACTTAATTTTTTTTTTTGTCTAACCTAATTCTTTTATAAATTTTGTTGATTTATCAAAGAGATTTTAGATTTAGGAGTGATTTGGGATGATCTAAATAAGTCTATTTTTTGACTTTTTATAAAATATGAGTTGGATATGGATTGAGTTTGAAATGATGTAATAGAGAAGTGATGTAACTTAAATAATATGATGTGACTTAAATAAGATAGTGACTTTTTAGTTTTTTTATCTTTTTTAGGTTATGACAAATAAGGCCTAAATCAGGTTGTTTGGTGCTTTGGAAGGTACCAAAGATAATATTATCCATTAATATATATTTTGGTAATATCAGCATTCTTCTATAACCATTCTTAAGCTTTAGTTTACGGTGGTGTCGTTTAGGAAGAGCTCATTTGGGCTCTTTTAGCTCTTTGAGCCACAAAAGACATAATAGGCTATTTGAGTCACAACAGACAAAATATCACATCCAACCCATAATCATTACACTCTTCTCTCATAAAAAAAGTCAAAAAAATCAAAAAGTCAAAAAGTCATTCCCAAACTAAGCTTTTGAGCCCAGGCTCAAATAGTCAAAAAAGTCAAAAAGTCAAAAAGCTAACCCACAGTAATTGTTATGCGAATGTAAATCTTAAAAGACAAGATGTAATTTCTGAAACTTCAACTAAAATTGTAATTTAACTAAATGTTGAGAGGTGCAGGTAATTTGTCCTAATTATTAATTTCGCCGGTCACTCTGGATTGATTGTCTGGCACCTAAGAAGTGGGCATTCAATGAACAACACGTGGCAAGAAGTTTCTTGGGTAAGTACCATTCTGTAAGTTCTTACAACAGGTGGCAACAGCTGATCCTAGGCCTCCAACTGAGTAGACCAATTTGTTTATCAGTCCACATGATTGGTTGGTATGTTTACCAATTTTATTTTATTTTATTATTTTATGAAGCAGGTTTTTTGTTTTTTCTTTGGTCCACTGTCTCGTTTTATGATCCTTATTTTGATAATTTGCCCTTTATTATTTTAATCTTTTTGTATAGATAATTGATAAAAGAAAAAATAGATTGAATTTATAATTATAATTATATAATTTAATTATTTTACTTTTAAAAATAAATAAATAAACGGATTATTCTTAAAATTATATATGTTTTTGAATTAAAATAATAATATCATATAATTTGATTATTTATGAACAATTTATGTACATATTTAAAAGGGGAATTTTTTTTTTAATATCCTTAATAATAGGAATTTAGAGGATAAATGACACTAAACAAAAACATAGTAGCGTAGGTCCCTAAAACACACATGCGTTTTATATCCAAATTTATTGGACCAAAATACCCTTGTTGGGATCTTCAATCATGAAGGATGATGATCAACGATGGCGTTAAGGTCAGTGTCGAAGTAGATATGGTTGTTTTTGTGGTTAAGAGAACAAGCAATGGCCTAAGACTTGGCCTTTTCCATTGCAGCAAAAATGAGCTCCGCTGTCGGAACTGTTGGGTGTGGTAGTAGTGAAAGCAGATTGCTTCTTGTTGTTGTTGTTGTTGGGATGAGACATAGAAAGCAATCAAAGAGATCATTCTGGGAAGAGAATCCCAAACACGAAGAAGAATAATAATAATAATAAGAATAATAAGAAGAAGAAGAGAGAAAGAGAGAGAACCAGAGAGAAAGGTGGGTGTGGCTTGTTTGATTTTCATTGGAATTTCTCTAAAATTTCTCTGGGCATTTTCACTAGAATTTCTCTAGACACATCACAATCTCCTTAGAATTTCTCTAAGTATGTGTGTTTATGTTTGAAATTTCTCTAGGCATTTTTATTGGAATTTCTCTGGACACATCACAATCCCCTTGAAATTTCTCTGAGTGTGTTTGTGTACTGGAATTTCTCTGGACATATCGCAATCCCCTTGGAATTTCTCTAAGTATATTTGTGTGTTCTTATTTGGAATTTCTATGGACATGTCACAATCTCCTTAAAATTTCTCTAAGTTTGTTTGTGTGTTCATATTTGGAATTTCTCTAAACACATCACAATCCCTTTAGAATTTCTTTGAGTTTGTTTATATGTTCATATTTGAAATTTCTCTAGACACATCACAATCCCAGAGTATTTGAGAAAATTCACGCAATGACCATAGCCAAAGAAAATTCATACAGTGACCATAGCCAAAGAAAATTCATACAGTGATCACAACCAGAGAAAATTCACAAAATAACAAACAGTGACCACAATTAGAGAAAATTCACACAGTGATCATAATCAGAGAAAATTCACACTGCCAAAGAAAATTCACATACTTAGAGAAAATTCACAAAATTACAAATAGTAATCACAACCAAAGCAAATTCATACAGTTCCAAAATCTAAAGAAAATTCACACAGTCTAGAGAAAATTCAATCTGATTTGTTCACACAACTTTCAATCTGATTTGCTCATACATCACAATCCCCTTGTCCAAATTCCACTATATTTGTGAGTTTATTGTTATCCATGATCACCCATTCTTTAGTCTTGAGTAGATAGATCAAGGACCTAGCGTCATGGTAGCAGAAGAGCTAGATGGGGTGAGTGTAGCTGCAAAGGCAGTGAAGAGGGGTTCAGGACTTGGCATCGAAGACATAGACGAGGCCAACAGCAATGAAGCGGTCTTCAGAGCAGAAGAAGATGGAAGTAGCTGTACTGGAGAATGAGGAGATAGTGGATTTAGGTTCTAGGGTTTGGAAATAGAAGCTTATAAGGTGGCGGAGAGATCCAAATCTGTAGAGAAAGAAAAAAAAGACGATAAATGGAAAGACGATGCCAAAATGGAAGCCGGCAATGGTGATGAAACAGCTGTCGGAGTGGAAGAAGACGAAGGTGACGGTGTTGGAGAGTGAAAAGATGATAGATTTGGATTTTAGGGTTTGGGAAGAGAAAGATTAGATAAATGGATAAGAGAGACCCAAATATATATATATATATTGAATAAAATAGAAGAAAAGAATGTGAAAGACCTTATCTAACAGGTAAAAAAAAGAGTTTGTGGACCTTTCCTACTATCTAACGTTGGAGAGGAATGTTAAACTAATTTCCCTTATTTAAAATGGGCATTCGGGTCCTAAATCTAATTTATTTTCATTTTTATTTTTTTGCCCAAAGATTCACATTTTAAAATAATTTATTCATAAAGACAAGGCTCTTGCAAAATAACCAAACTACCCATTCATATATATACTAGCGTATGCCTTGCCTGAAGGCACGGTGTAAATAATGTTAGGATCAAAATGTAATTGTAATTTATACATATCATGTTGAAATTTGTGAAGTTTGTCATTTTTTGATGAAGATACTGAAAAAAAAAATATATATTGAAATATTTTTCTTCTTAGAGAACTTGTAACAATTTTAGTTGTATTACACACTCTACAAAACTCAAATAAAATAACAACTCCCCCTAGCCTTAATGCAAATTAAGAAACAAACATATAAGATCTATAATGTTCACCAGTATTGCAAACCAAAATATAAGAGCAAGTAAAAAAAATTGTAAACACTAAACAAAATATAGAAATCAAAAATATTGTATACTTGTTAACGTTGTATAACAAAAAGAAAAAAATTACTAAAAACCACATAAAGCACATTAGTAAGTGCTCTGCAATCGCAACAAATTAAATTGAAAATTAAACATCAACCAATGTTTATCAGCCTATACTCTACAATTCCAAACAAATTAAATATCAAACAATGCA